AAAAAAAAGGAGGGGAGTTAAAAAGACGAGCATCCTGTTGAATTCCAGTACTCCTAATGCTCGTATAAAGACTAAAGGTTGGCAGGCAACATACAGAGCCACATTTAGTTCTGAAAAATGACGTTTTAAATTCACATTTGCCCCTTCACCGTCAACATGTCCTGTGTGAGAGCTGTCGCAGAGCAGGGTCCGACTGTCCGCAGGGCTGTCCGCGTGCCGCACCCCTCAGACCTTCTAGAACCAACTAGAGAGGGCGCGAGCGGGCATGGGGGCTGCCGTCCACTGAAGAGAGGAGCTGACACTGTGAGGGCACTGCAGGAAGTTCACAGGAAAATGGAAGTAAAAGATAATACCAATCCTCCCATGAACTTTCTGAAAAGCCCTCATAACTGCAAATGAATTATGGGAAAGCGGGGGGACTGGCCTCATGAAAATGAAGTCATTTACCTGGAGCAGAAGAATGAACTGCGGAAACCTCTGGATGGGTTTCATCATCAGACTGTAGAGCGTGATTCGATCCGGACTGGACTCCTGGCACTGCTGTGAGGGGAGGGCAGAGGCTCACTGCGCAGCAAGGTCCTGGAGCCCTCCCCAGCCTCCCCTCAGCACAACACAGGAAAGTCAGGACGGGATTGACTGGCTATTCAAGAACCTACACCTTGTCTTTAGCTCTGTGAAGAAATTCCATCAAAATTCATTTCAAAATACTTTCTACTCCTGTTCTGGGGAAGAAGTCGCTCTAGCTGTCACTGTCTGTCTTGTGGAAGGGCCAAATCTCACTACTTTAGGCTTAGCTCTGGGTATGAAGAATTCCCTGGGGCAGGAAGAGTGGGCGATTTCAGGGGCTGTCCCTGGTGTCTTTGTTCTGGCTCCAGTTTGCCCCCAGGAGAGGTTGGCAGCCTCTTCTGGTGCCACAGGCAGAAGAAAGTCCTGGAGCCTCTCCCTGCAGCAAGGTGGCTACCTCTCTGAGCACCATAAGAGATGCTCAGCTGGGCTGGGCCATTTACACACTGGGGCTTGTGGGTGGTCCTGACCAGGGGCTGCACCTCAGGTGTGCCCAGTTCCCTCTAGCTCAGGGAGCTGCGCAGTGCAGACAAAGGAGCACAGGCTCAGCCAGGCCCTGGCTTCTCAGCTTGCCGGGCACCCGCTCTCTGAGACTCAGTTCCCTGGGCTATGTAATGGGGATCAGGCCCGTCCATATTCCAAGATTTCCTAGCAGCTGGCAAGCTAAGCAGTGTGTGCTGGGGTCGCTGCCATGGTTGACATCCTCAGCAAGACCATGACAAAATCCTCAGAGGAAATGAGTTTTTAACTCAATTTGTGTTTTCTTTCCTCCTGAGAAAGAAATGCTGTAATAGCAAAAGGACACCAAGTACCACACACTCCAAAGTTGAGAACTGTGAATTAATCACTCAGCAAACCTTGATCAACCACCTGCTACGCTCCAGCAACAGCAGGAACGACTGTATTAAATGAGAAAGGAGGAGGGAAAATATTCTGGCTTAAATAAAACACGGCTGTTGGCAAGAATACTTGCCCTGTGTTCGCTCACCCCAGGTAGCAGAAGTTTCCGAGAATACAGTCCAAGTAACAAGAGCACATTTTGTTCCAAGGCTTTACGATGCAAATGAGGGCCTCTTACAAATGAGGCTGGCTCCAGTGGACGGCCATGGGGGGATTTTAATCTGGTTCAATGTGCAGCAACCACTCTTATGGATTTACGTCACAGCCTCTGACATGCATCTCATGACTGGGGAAGCCCTGGCCGCCCACTGATTAAATAACACACATCAATATCCATGAGGGGAAATGTACTCCATCACTGCAAAGTCAGACGCCAACAAGGAAGGCCCTCAGCTCTCTCCACCTGACATCAGGCAGAGCAAACCAACATCCCACATGTGGGGCTCACCCTTAGGGCTCTGCCTTTCCAGGACCTTGCTTACTGCTGTGACACCAAAGAGGGCATTTTCCATTCCAGAACACAGATGCTATTTTCTCGTTATTCCTAACATGCTGAAGGGTAGGAAGAAAAAGTTACTATGGGCCTGATCTTAACTTTCTTTCTGTCTATTCGTCTATCTATACATTTTTAAGGATGTTCAAATAAAAGTTACATTAAGAACTAAAATTCATCCTCATTTCTAGCATTAATCCAATACCTAGGGCACTGTTGGTACTGAAATCTTTATAATAAATAACATCATGCATTTAGAGGCAAGGTTTAGTAGAATTTCATTATGAAGTATTTTGACATAGAGCTTGTCATCAGAGGATATTTAAACCCAAATTAAAAAAAAAAAAAAGTGCTTACCTTTAAAAATTCAAGAAAAGCAGGCTTTGTAGCACATGTTTTCTTGAGGACTGCTACAGCTGTGCTAAAATTATTTACATATTCACTGTAAGCATCTAGTACCATGGACTTAGAAAACTGAAACACAAGAGGAAATTAAGAGAAATAACATAGAGAGTCCAAATACTCCCTTTTCCAATTTAAAATAGAAGATTTGAAACCAGCCCTAAAATAACCTTCCAGTCACTGCGATATTTTCATAGGCTAAACTTCATGGTAACTGTGATTTGCTTTTCTTTAAGCAAGCTTGTTAGAATTGTTTAAATGGCTAGGTGGTCTTACTTTGCAGACCCCAATGTGCTGTCAGGCATCCTTGTTGGAAACCGAGGTAATTTGGGCTTCAATTAAGAACTGCTCCTGACTACAGACAAATAAGGATGATGACAGACAGACATCCTCCTCTGAACTCCTGCCAAGCTTCACTTGGATTTGACTTCCAGGTAAGAATGTCATGCAACTCGCTGTTGGGCTGACCTAACATCCTGAGAAACAGGCACCAACCATTCCCTGGAAATGCAGGGGGTGGGGGTGGGGGGCAGAATTAATCCCATTTCTCTAGGCTGAGGCGCAATGCCGTGTATGTTCATTTTCTTATTTTCCTAAAACCATAAAGGTTTCAAGAGGCAGAAACATTTGCCCTTGGTATCAACTTCCAGAGGCAAAAATCCATTCAGTTATTCCTCTAAGATACCACAGGTACTCTAGGAGACGGCAGCATCCCTAAGTAGAGATTTGGTGTGACTGTCACGGATGGAAGAAAGGCTTCCCAAATGTCCATCATCGGATGAGTGGATACGGAAACTGTGGTATATCTACACAATGGAACACTACTCAGCTATAAAAACGAATGAAATACTGCCATT